TGTTTTGTATGCTAATAACCATCCCAGCCTAAGTTCGCACAAGCGCGCTCGTTTATCCTTGACAATTGAGTAATCTTAACTGGAAGACTTACCAAATGGAACTTGCTATTCTTGAAAATTGACTTTATCGCCACGTAGATCATATGGATCAGGGTACAAGAAGGCAGGCTTTTATTTAGAATACCATATGTTCCATCGATTTTAGAAAAAGTCAGATTTGCAAATATATGTTATTTCATGCCCTAAAACGCGGAAATAACGCCCACTGACAGGCTGCTGCTCAGGCTATTGATGATTTTCTGTCCAATGCGAACTCTGTGTAACTTACGTAGAAAAGGCTCTCAACTAAGTGACCATTTTACCTTATCAGCACTTGATATAATACTTTTGTGTGACGTAGTTTTAACCAATGCGTGATAGAGAAACGGAATGGGTGCCAGATTAGTATTTTTTGCAGTATCTTAGTATTTAGACAGCCACTCTGTTGTGCATTTATAATCTCAGGAAGAGGAGTAGAAGTAAATAAATATAGCAAAAAATGCCCCCATATGACGAGAAAAGTGAGTTCTTTTACTCGTAGCAGAAAAATGACCACTAGTTTTCAGGGAAGTGAGAATGCCGACAAAGCGTCCTAATTCAACCCTGACTCAAGTTTAAAAAAAGTAAGCTACGCAGACATCCGACAGTAAGTTACATAATCAAAGCGCGTCTTAGGGAGATAATTTATCAGAGAAAGTTTTAAATTGATCAGAGGCATATTTTTGCCGACATTCATTGTTGACGTTTGTTCTTCTCGACGATGTGGTTTCCTGTTTGGACGAGGCTACAAATATGACCAAAACGGCCATCTGCATTAGACAGAATATCCAAGAACCCCCTACTTCAGTAAGTACTGTCAAGAAGTATCTTATTTTGGAAGTTTTTATAAACACACGGAACGGAATAGGTATCTATGGGCAAGTCGTTGAAAAAATCGAAAGTCGTGAAGCGTTTGTCACTGCTTCACTCGGTTTGCGAGGGATTAAGAATCTTTCGTAAATTTTGGTACTTTTCATGAGGTAGGTCAGATATCGTACATGGTCGCTGCAAAAAAAGGCTAATTTCCTTGACAGCTACAATTTCCACCAAACGTTTTGCCGAGGTTACCGAAAACTGGAAACCCGACAGTTCGACCGTCGATTTCGACGATGTCCACCGTGTGCCCCACAGCTGCAGCAGCGGTGGGAGCAGGGACGGTGACTTGCGCAGGGGTTTATAGTGCCGGTAAACTTGCGCTGCATCTACCTACACTCTCTCCTCCTCCCCCGCCTGGGCCCGGTGTCAAGACAGAGTCAAGAAGACCGGAGACGAGGGAGGCCGCAGGTGGATGGTTCGGACGGATCCTCACCTTGGCGTTCCACCACACCCCCTGGTCCACACAACAATAACCAGGATTTCAACCAACACAACAGAGATTTGGAGGCTGGCACGGCCGAAGCCGCACCTGGGCGTGCCGCCAACGCCTGGCTCGGATCCCACACTGTGGTGGGAATGCCATAAAGGCCACATTAAAAAGGAGCCATTGCAGCCTGACTCTCAGACCGCCTCCAGTGAAGGAGGAGGTCCAAGGTACCCCGTCAGTTGGCAACCTTCCAAGCCACGACTTTTAGCGCACCGTGATAGCTTCAAGCGCGTCAGATTGATTATAGTGAGGAAAATGCGCTGAGTCGTCGACCTCACTCTCCCTTCCCATTCCCACACCCTAGCCACTGTCCGAGCCGGTCAGTAGACTGGAGTGGGGAATGGGCGCGGTGGCTGACATGGTCGACTGACCATGCCTGCGCGCGCCACAACACGACCTGGCCCCCATACACATACAAACACCAGGATTTCACACAACGGGGGTTGAACGGCGTGTCTCCCACTTGCGTGAGATGGCCGTGGAAGGTGCTGCTTCAGCCCATCCCCAGCCCACCAGTCCGCCACTACACACAACACACACACACACACACACAACGTGACGAACTGCGTGAACCGAGAGCGGGCCTCAATCAGCAACCTTCCTATCCACGACACTTGACGTGTCGGGATAGTCTCGGACTCAAGTCACCCGTGCAGCCGAAGCCGCATGGAAACCCACTACATTGAAGCATACAGTTTTGTTCTTGTCAGAGCTTTTGACCAATTCGGTGCATTGACTAAGTTTAAAGACTCAAGCTTATCGAGTATCATAAAACTGTTTTTTTTTAAGTCGAGGTCAATTATCTGCCTTGTGTAGATATGCTTGTTCTCGTGACTGACTGCATAATAGCCAAGTAAGTCGGCAGAACGTAAATGTTCCTATGCGAATTTAACTTTCTCTATTTCCTTTCCTCCCCGAAAGTTGTGATGGGTGTCCATCTCTTGTCTCCAGGGTCGCAGAAGCGTCCATATCGCATTCAGTCCTCCTTCCATAGATGACGGAATGATGCACGTCTTTCAAATGTAAGAACGTCATTGTTCACAAAGTACTCTGAAAAGCAAACCCCCGCACTGGATCATTCATTTTGCATTGTAAATTAACTGGGATAATCGCATCAACAGAATGGATAGTATATCTCATAATTTCAATTCATGTGACAAGACGGAAATTTGAGTGCTCGCTTCCCGCATACAACTGACGCTTATGAAGTCGATCGGTTTTACCGAAACACTTACAGTCCGCGTGCCTACGGTTGACCATATACATAAAACCAGAGTCGTTCCGGCATTTAAGAGGACCGGCAAACTAGAATGCCCACGGTGGAGTTCCAATTAAGCTCCGGGGACCACCTCGGTCTATGCAGGGTAGAAGGACCAATGAGGAAATCTTTATTACAGCATGTCATTCTGGACATATATTTGGCACAAATGTGCCACCAATAATGAATAAAAAATCATTTACAGTCTTCAAAAGACGGATTCCAATGCTGCTTGGAAAGTTGTACTCGCTAGATGCCGAAATGTTTTACCCGAGACGTTCTTCATTAGCCCTTTTGATTGTGATGACAAAATGTGCATCCATTGGAAGTAGGCAGCGAATGTGTGGTCGTTTGCTGTTAATGCAGTTTAAACATTTTTTAACGAACAATAATTTTTCATCGGAAAAATAATTATTTTATTCAAACACCGACGTCCTTCTAGGTTACGACGTTTGCTATCCACATTCATTTCACCCCTGGCAGCCCGTTAACTTAATGTGGTATAAAATCATACGGAGATTCTATAAAAATATGTCGACTGACAAAGGCACTTGATCTTTGGGATTCACAATCATTGGACGCGCACTTTGACGAGGATCGCTATAAATTCTAGGCAGTCATTAAGAGGATCCCGTGACGCCCGTCAAATATTGGGGGCTTTCGCTTGTACGACATTTAACTGCTCATTTTAAGATGGATAACTAAACTTTATGAATGTTAATATTTCTATGCCAGGTGATCCTCATTTTTCATAATTTTACTTAAACACGTAGAGCCGGAGAATTGCAACTCGTTGCGGAATTTCGCAATTTGTAAAAAGAGGCCGACTTCAGAGTCGAAGAGCGTGCAGGACTTCAAAGTTCCTTCAAATTGTCGGCATTCATTTGTAAAAGTCCACTAAATAAATTGAAGAGTTGGTTAAACTATCTCTACAAATCTAAAAAGTTTCCGTTTTTTATTCCAACGGACAGTGCCCCTTCTATTTAAAACCCGTCTTTCGGCTAGATGGCATAAACTTTGAAGGTTAATTAATTAAAAGTGCCCATAAGTCACCTGTTTGCAAAAAAGAAGTTTTCCTGTTGCATTTCGCGATAGATGCAGTCAATTTTAGTTAAAATATTTTTACAGATATTCCTGATCTTCAGTTACCTCTTGATTACTGGGAATCTGGTTTTTTTGCAGACTAGATCGATCCTGCTCTCGTTGTTCACACTCGAATGACTAATTTTCAGGCTCTTTTATCATTAGCAATCAGAATGTCACATATTTTTTGCTGGTCTAGGGATTGCTGCCTGAAATTTTCGGCAAAGTATGCCATCGTTAGTCTGACTGTAGTCTATAAACGCATAAAATACAGTCTAAACAACATATAAAACAACGAAAACTGCTCATTCTGACAACAAAGAACGCTAATTCGCCTTTAGACAAGCCAATGACGAGTGGTTCAGAAAGGAGGACGGTTCCGGTCCGTTACAAAGCGGACATTACGACAGTCCGTGAGACCCGTTTCTCCAGGTAGGGCCAACTCGAGGAGGAAGGGTAATGGATACACCTATTTCTGGAGGGACTTCTCAGGAATGGCATCATAAGACGGTTGTCCTACTTGCCAAAGGGTATCATTGGCCGTCTAATGATCAGAAGGCTACCATTCTGCGTGAACAAATATGTCACCATCGTCAGCGCCTATACCCTCTCAATGGCCAATTACGATGACACGAGAAGCAAATTTGACAAAGACCTGCACTTCCTCCCAGCAAATGTGCTAAAGGCGGATAAACTAGTTGTCTTAGGTGATTTTAATGTTCGGGTCGGGACAGGCTCTGCTACCATGGCGAGAAAGCTTGGTAACCATGGTATAGGCAGCTAAAACAGAAATGGTCTTCTGCGCGCCCGTGCAGAACACAACATTCTCCGGAATAAAAGCCTCGTTCGAGTCTTGATCTGGGAGAAGGCGACATGGAAGCACCCTCGTTCGCACCCCTCGTATCCGCTGGATTGCGCCATTGGTCAGAATCGTGACTAGCCTGAAATGGTTGTAACTAAGGCATTAAGAAACGCCAAAAACTAGACGTATCACCACTTTGTCAGCTGTTAGATTAAGCTCCAACTCCAAACGCGTAGGCAACCGCGAGCTAAAATGACACCAGCAAGTTAAATAATGCTTTACTTGATACGGCTGAATGCTGACCGAACTTTAACGACTGCAATAATTCGAAACTGGAAGAGGTGGAAACCCTGGAAGCGCATACCATTGTCGAAACGCGGTGGAGGGAATTGCGTGTCACCATTCAGATCACCAAGATGGAAGCCCTCGACCGAGCACGCCGGCAGCAGCAAGATTTGTTGGATGACAACGACGCTCTACTGCGAGAAACAGTCTATACGCGATCCACACCACCACCAACGGCAGCAATGGAAATAAAGCCCCATGCATCCTGTGTCGACAGTAAGTACAACAGAGACTGGGGTGGATGCAGGACAACTAGGTGGTTCGCAAAGCTGGAGGGATCCAGGTATATGTCCACCGAGGCGAGATGAAGAGTTTCTTTGCGGTTATCAGGGCGGTCTACGGTTCAAAAGCCAAGGAAACTGCAACGCCGGTGAGAGAGAATAAAGTAGCCCTCCTGAAGGGGAAGTTAGAGATCCTCGAACGCTTTTCTATGTGCTTTAGGGGCGTCCTTAACCACCCTTCGACAAAATGTGAATAGGAATTTCACTTGACAGCAAGGAGAGGGTTAAGGACAGCCAACGCTCTAACCATCTGAGCTACGAGGCCCGACGGGACGACGCGAGTTTAATCACATTTGGGTCAAGTTTACTCGCCCAGCCTACTGCAACGTCTGGAATCCACCAGATTGCACCACCACCGCCGCCGCCGCCGCCACCACCACCATCACCACCATCGCCCCGTTGCAGTAGGTTGGGCGGGTAAACTTGGCCCAAATGTGATTAAACTCACGTCGTCCCGTGGGGCCTCGTAGCTCAGATGGTAAGAGCGTTTGCTGTGCTAAAGCCATTACTTGCTGTCGTGGGTTCGTATCCAACCGAGGCACCTAGTTTTTACAATTATGTCACAGTGATTTAGGCATTGTGCATCCTATCTTGCTTGGCGATAACGTTGTCGATTTCTTTGTGGTTGTCGTTGGGTCAGTCCAGATGTTGACGGCGTGCGCGGCTCCCGTAAAGCGCATGACATTTCGCAGTTGATGCCTTTGCGTCTCTGCGGTGGCGTTGTCCTCTGGAGCGTGCAGGTCTCTCAGGCGCACAGTCAGTCAATTTTTGAAATCAAAGCGATAAGCAAACAAATTCCACAGAAGGGTAATTACCTTACCTGATGCAGTCGGGTTTTAATCATGGGATATGAAGACGGCGATCCGTTCCATCGTCGTAGATTGCTTTTACCGCCAGCAATTCGTGAGCGTTCCGCCTCCCAACGAGGAAAAAGTCAGTTATATGCATCCAAGTTGCCTTCTCTCCCATCGGAAGGAGTGCCCGCTACCGGCACTAGGCGCATGGAACGACATGCCATCCCTACACGATGTAGTTCCTAATTGAACAAACCCATACCCCACATGCAAAGGAGACAACGAATAAGCCACTTGTAGCCTCCTAAGGTCATTGATTTTAATTGGCAGAGAAATGTCTTGATGAATTTAGGTGGGATTTTGCAATTGATTGCTGAAATCGGGTTTGCGGTCTGTAGCAATAATGTGAATTGAGGCGCAAAACGGTTCGTCTGAGAGATATGGCAAGGATTTACTCTTTTAAACGGTTCACCAAGAGGTCGCGATGAGGGTAAAAGTCACAACTTCAAAGGACATCTGCATTTCTGAGTTAATATTAACGAGGCCTTAATAATCTATGACCTACTGTCATTTTTTATCCGAGCCTGTTGAAACGCCAATATATATGCAAAGAAACCACCAACCAACATAATCAAGTGTACGTCAACGAGGACATCGACTGGCCGCCTGATATCCTTGAGATAATCAGAGCTGTATAACAGCTGTCTAGTCGAAAAGTATAGGAAGCGCACGCGAAGCCATTCGAGAGGACAGGACTACAAGGATAAGTCCCTCAGAACTTCAAGGACGCAACAAAAATTCACTTCTCCAAGGGGAAAGGTTACCAACAAATCAGTGATAACAATGGAAGAATTTTCTCCTAAACACTGCAGGAAAATCTTTACCTGCGTTCTCCTCAACCATCTGAACATGTGCCTCGAGCAAGTACTTTTCTTTGAGAGCCAATGCAGATTCCGACAACATGTGGAATCTTCTGACGTGATCTCTGCTGCCTGCCAACTGCAGGAGAAGTGTTGAGAACTGTGACCCAACCTGAACACCATTTCTTGGACCCAGAAAAGGCCCTAGACACAATGAATCATGATGGAATTTAGAGAATCAGAGAGAAATAAGGGTGTTTTGAGAGATTCCCACCCTCAGGATGGGATGGACGCATCAGCGTTATGACATTCAATTCTGAACAGTGGACGAATTCGCCTTTTTGGTCAGTGAATTCTTCCGGAACATCAAATCTGACGATGAACTTGTACACCGGATCTCCAATGTCAGCCAGGTAGTCGTCCGACTGCAGGCCTTTATCTAGAACCGATACGGCCTCTATCCCAACGCAAAATTTAGGATATACAAGGCAACGCTGTTGCACTGACCTTCCGCCTGGACTGTCTGCGAGTAACAGGCGAGGAAATGCAATCATTCCCGCTTCAAGGAGCCTCCGATGAAAACTGAAACTGGGGTGGAAAGGCGGGATCCCTGAAACAGATGTTCTCGAGCGGACTGGAGTCCTCAGCACTAACGCCATGCTGAGGTAATTTTAGTTACGCTGGAGCGATCACCTCCCGATGATGGATGACGAGTGCCACTCGGGCGACTTTTCTATGAGAGCATCGCTATGGTTGCTCACCGATAATGAGGACAAAAACGACGCTGCAAAGACACCCTGCCGACCTCCGTCAACGATTCGCAAATAAATTTAGAGATCCGGAAAGATCTCCTCAGGGATGGTCCGGCCTGAAGAAGGGCAGTGAAGACTGGAGCAGCAATTTGCAAAGCCAGTCGAATCGTTGTTGCCAAAGTAAAAAAAAACGGTTGCCAGTCTAAAGTGCCTCCGCCTCATAGACCAAATGCCCAGCACTTTCCATCATGTGCAACTGTCAGCAGATTGTACGTGCGGGGACCGGTCTCGTTGGGCATCTTTTGGCCCAATTCAGCAGCAGAGCAACAGCAGCAGCAGCAGCAGCAGCAACAACAACAACAACAACAACAACAACGACAACAAGACCACTTCACCTACTGCCTGTGAAAATGCCTCCGCCGCCACCCCTGTAGCAACCCTCGCGGCGTCAACGACGGCGACCATCATCAGCACCAGTGAGTAAACACCCGACCCCACGCCGCCATTGCCGCCCACCACCACTTCCAACATTACTGCGACGACAACTAGCACCATTGCCACTTTCGCCATCGATGAAAACACTCCGGACGCCCCGTTAACCACCACCAACACCACCACCACCAGCAACGCAAATTGGGTTCTGACCCGTGTCCAGGGTGATGAAAGCAGAGAGGCCGAGAACGATGCTGCGCAAATTTGATACCGCTAAAACTAATTTACGCGCAAATCACAGTCTCTGCACGCGCTAAGTTATGACACACACGGTGGACCATGTCGCACTCAATGCCCAAATAGGCCTTGCGGGAGAGGTGCTGGACGAACACGGAGGCATATTAGGTTACGGCACATGTGAACCGCGCTTGGCAAAGTTTGCGTATGTTTTACACGGGGGATGTGATGACGCGCCTAGGCGGGAGCCAACATCGCGTCAACCTGCTTGTGCCCATTCCCAGGATCAGATGGTTGCCCCGTTCGAACAACGGGCAACTGCATAGAAGAGGGAGGAGAGAAGCTGCCTCTGGGGACTCCGTCTCCACGGCATACCAGCACATTTCCTAGTTAGAAACCAACTGCCTCGTTTGTTAACTAACAACAGGAACTTAAAGTGGTGACCTGGAAGGCTGTCCACGGACAGGATAATCCAAATCTTTCCGGACGAGGAGTCAGGCTGCGACGGTTCATTCCGAATGTGGCGCACAAAGAAATTTAACTCAACTAGAATCCTAGCCGTCCTTTTGTTCGTTTTGTAAAAAGTCGGACTATGGGACGTGGCACACGCAGACGGCCTGTTTGACTTTGTCCGTCACTGTGTCCGATCCCGCTACCGGGTTTCTTGACTCCCTTCTGATAAGGAGATTTGGCGGTGAGGGGAGAAAGAGATTAGCGGATACTATGCATGCGTGTTATCACTTTAAAATAGTTCACGCGAAAGTCACCATTCCTGCGCTCACTCCAAATGGCAAGTAGTAGATATTGTCGCCAGCGACGATTGCACTTTTAGTTATTTACTTCGTTGCACGGACGTGCACCATGCATTTCAACAAACCATACTCACTCATTCGACTGGACACTCCGTACTTTTTGTGATTTTAGCTTTTCTTAAGCAAATGTTTTGTTCGAACTAAAATAATCTTACTGTCAATATTTCTGTTTTTCTCATTAACTACCAGGGTTCTTTAGTTAGGTGAGTGTTTTGATCGATGCATTCTGTCAACTGAGGAACAATTGGGGATTTTGCGTGAATTAAGGCATGTCTTATGAGGCATTTCGCGTGCTATAGATCGCCGTTAGCAACTGCTATATAGTTCTGCACGCAAGAGCTCTTTATACAAATTTAATAGAACCAATTTCACTCACTGCAGTAGAAACTCATTGCAGTTTCAACGACCGCATTTACAAGCCTCTGCAAGACCTTTCCTTCTGATCTTTTGGTTCCATTTCTGTTTGTGAAAATCGCATCTTGATATAAATCACAAGTCGGCTTCATGTAAAGTTGTCTAGGTTTGAACCAAGTGTAAGGCTTATTATTTGCCGTCGCCTTTCGCCTTACCCGGGCCAAAATAGAATGTCAAGAATCATCCAACAGAATCTGAAGTAGGAAGTTGCAACTTTGCTCAAACTTTTTGGAGCACTTGACAGCGTGCATTATTTCCGTTTCAGAACAAAGCGTATATCGGGATCTTCAATTCCTTTGCAAAAGTACTGTGCACGAATGCCAAGCGCAGTTAGGCAACTTGCGGCATCCTTTGTTCTCTTGCAAGCATCACTGCCTTTTTGATCACACCGTTCGAACTGCGTCAAGTACGAGCTCGTGAACACCGAATAGGACACACGATTTTATAAACAAATGTGTTGGCTGATGCACAGGACTATTCTGAAGAACGCTGAGGTTTCAGAGTCGCATCCGTTTTCAACCGAATATTTCTTTTCAGTGCGGGTCACGTTTAACGATTTGAATAATGAGGTAAAATTTTATACACTAACAAGTTCTGCTCATTGTTGAGTTTTTGTGGACATTGAGGAGGATTTATATCCGTTTAAATATTATCGGTAGTTAATGGACATTTTTTCGGATAAGACTTCGCCCTTAAAATTATCCCAGAATCAAAATTTGCTCTAGCGAGAAAATGTGAGGCATCATCTGAAAGTCATTTTGAGTACGTATGAGGGTCCGTGAATGCGCTCTTCATTTTTCGAAATTGCGTTCTATCCGTTTATATTCTTTAAACCGCATTCTTGCTTGAGTGGAGAATTTTATAACCCTGAGAAATTATTAGCTATTGGAACAGAATGACATGTTCGCGTAGCTAAAAAAACGAAATGGTCAGCTTTATTTCCAAAAGACAACAGTCGCTTACGAAACATTCAATGCATTCCTATGGCCATATTAATGACCATTTTCTACATGTTCATTAGTGGTGCCTTGTATTTCCAGTATAAAGGCTTCCGAGGCAGTCACGTGGCGACGAGGGAAACGGAATAGTCTTTATCTCGTCCTGCAATCAGGATAAACCGGCAAGGGCCAATCATAGGGTACTTTTACTACTCTCGATACCTGCCGAGACAAATGATGGAGTGCGTGACTCAACTGCTGCTTGACTAACTGACGCGGATAAAAAAATCCGGTCTGGTAAATTAGAGGCTTCGGCTTGACTGGTGGACGACAGAAAATAGGCTAATGATGGCCATTGCGCTCTGCTTTGTTTTCCTCCATTAATGCCTCTGACTTCACATTTTTAAGCTACTCTCGTCAAAAAAACACGTTTTGAGTGAGGGGGGCTGCTTTGCGGCTTCTGATCGACCTCTCGATTACCATTTCGGATCCTTATTTTAACGTTTGCGTTTACTTGCTAGATCACAGCACTCGAATCTGCATAGGGAAGGGTCGTTTAGTTGTTTTTTTTTCGCGGACTGCACATTGTATGAGTTTTCATACACATTGTCGTTATACAAGTAAGCTTTAAATTGGTGATTTTTTTCAGTGCTATACATTTCTTCAAATCTTAGATAAATTCAGGAAAAATCCGTGGTTTCGCCAAGTGATAGTCCGGAAGTCAGCAGGCGGCAAAAGCGTTGTAAAGGTGGTAGTGACAAGCGTAGAATGCGATACCTAACGCTGGATCGACTGCAGCGTATTTGCTTAGAGATTAAGATTGAAAATCCAACTATGGGGTTGAATCTGTAGAAGAAGATGTCGACGAGACTGCAAACTACAGCAGTGGATCTCTTGAAATGCAGACAACACTCCCAAACAAAATAAATGCCAATTTCCCTCACGTCCAGGCCATAGAGGATAAGGACGGTTAAGCACAAAATGGAAGCGGTCTAGACATATCATCAGGTCCACTGTACCAGAGATCAAAACCACAGGAACCGGCAGGGGGATAATGGATTATATGCACAGCAAATGAGATCCGAGAAAGATAAACCTAAAGAATCTTCGTGACCACGGAAAAGACCAAAAACAAAACTGAATCATTCGACTACCGTCGCCGACCACGACGGACTGTCTCGAACACGAAAAGATAACCAACAATATCGAACAAGTTCTTCAAGGTTATCATATCTGTTTAGGCCTTTCAAACTACTGGGACTGTGCTGTTGCTCATTTTAGAACTTCTTTCTGAGCAACTGCAATGCCGAAAAAGTTTGGCCAAAGACTTTTGATGCATTCTCAACAGCCAATCCGCAATCTACGGTGAAGTCGTCGACCGACTTCCTCTGGGGGAGCTTAATGATAACCTTTATCATCCCTGCGTCCTTCCAAAGATAATAAGGACAATCCCGTATATGTTTTAATGAAAAGATGCGAGCACGGACTTGAATTCAGCTTTAATTTATAAGAACGATGACTGCGAACACATAAAAATCTAAACTCTTTTTTAAGAAGGCATGGCGTTAAAGACGAATTCCACAAGAGGTTGAACGTGCAACAAATATTTAATCACACAGGCGTAATGGAAACCGGCAAATCTACGACAGTCACCTGGGTTTCCTTCTTCTTGGTACTGCTGTCAAACTCGTTTCCCGAGTTCTACCCACTCACTACTATTTGTACATAGACGTAGATTTTTTATCAGAAAATCAGCGCGGATTCCAGAAAAAATGACGGAGTTTCTTATACGTTTGTAGATAGAAAGCTGAAGGCTGGACAAGAATAAATGTACGATCACATCTAGGACAGCAAGTGTCACTAAAGTTTTCTATACCATGAGCCGAACCAGGTTCTGAAATGACATAATGGATGAGGGGTGTCTAAGATGATTCACGCTGGTGGTCAGTAAACTTCATGCTAGCATTCTGAGACGCACCACGGACGGCGGATCTACCCGTGTCCGTGATAGGGTCGAGCAAAAGTCAGAAACGTCAGGCGAACAAAGGTCTTGTCGCAACGATCGTGTCTCCATCTTCATCACTTTTAACGTTGTTAAATGATACGGAGTAACATCCTACGTATGATATTTTAGGTCATATATCAAACTGTATCCACGCATTTTTTCTCCTCCAAAAGGTCAATCAGTTGGGCACGCATGAGGAAACATTAGCTACCTTTTCCCTTTTTGAAGTTTAAAATAATTTTACTTGCTATTCAGTTCCTTCCTGAGCCACTTTTCTCGACTCAGGAGTGGCCAGAATATATTCTTCAGCGGAAATGTCGTTAAAGGGATTTTTACCCTTGACGTCCATAAATTATGCATTCTGGCGTAAAATAAAAAGCTTTTGGTTGTTAAATATTGTTTATTTGTAATAAGAAACAAGAGCCTGTTAGTAATATGTGAGATATCTAAACTTTGGAGCCCCAGATAGTTATTCCGTTGTTAGATTCTGACCCAGAGAGTGTATTTGTTGATTTTGCGAATTTATATTACCCTTAATATTTTTCGGCATTCCGCACAAATCGACTCTTCAAAAGAGTATGCGGAAGTAAATACAATTTAAAAAATAGTTCTAAAATCATATGTGATTAGAGGTTTTCCTTTTACA